ATTCTATAATTTAGAGGTAAATTTAACTATGGTTTTATAAACCTAATTTTAATTTCTTTTAAATATTAAAGAAATTTTCTATCATGAAGTTAGAGTAGGATAATTGAGTAAAAGTTTTGATTGTGATAGAGTTGACATAGAATTTATTCGACGACAATTTAAAAAAAAAAAGATATTGGCAAAATACTCATCTTAATTTCATTATAGAAGACATCAGAATTTTCAATTAAAAAAAAAATCTTTCAAAATGTATAAGCCCCAACTTGAGGTGAAAATTAAGAAGAAATTATATTAGAAGTTTGCAGTGTAAAAAATAAGAAAGTTGAGATATAGTGTTTGTACACATAGATAATAAATATAAAAAGAAATTTTAAAGTTCAATTTTTTTAACAAATTAAATTGATAAGAATTCAATTCATGTATATGTATGAATATAGGTACTCAATAGGTGGAGTTTAAGAATTAAGAAAAGCAAAATCGTGGTGGGCGGATTATATCTATTTTATAGTAATTTCCATTATTTCTATGATTTAAAGCATTTAGTCATTTACTGAGATGATCTTTTACATATCTACTTGAAAAGAATAGTAATAATAAGGATTTATTAACCGAGTTCTTTGGAAATTATATATGTATAAGATGGGGGTGAAAACTACAATGTTTTATGGCATATAGAATGTTGGGCATTAAAAGAGAAGCATAAAATTAAATGAAGTTTTGCAGGGATAAGGATACTTAGGTTAATGAGCAATAGGGGTGTCAAAACAGGTTTTCAGGTTGGGTTCGAGTTAAACCCGAAATTGAACCGCTTTTAACACGTCTAGCCCAAACCCGACCCATTTGTCCAAACGAGTTAAAAATCTAGACCCGAATGGAGGAGTCAATATATGACACGATCCAAAAACCTGACCCAAGCCCGACCCATAAATTCTAGGATCAAGTCAACCAGTTTAGCAAACGAGTCGAGTTCGAGTTGAATTTTTTAACCTGATTAACATATCAAGTTGGGTTAACATAGGAACCTGGAAACAAGTTGGTTGCTTCTCGCCTCGCGGCCCCGGCTGTCGTGCTTGCCCCTGTGTCAGTGCCTGTGCTCGTGCTAGCACCCGCACCCGCGTCGCCCTCATACCCAAGCTCACGTTCACCCACTCACTCTCGTGGCCTCGCCTTTGCTCTCGCTCGACATTTGCATGGTCGCACTCTCGGTTAGCGGGTTGAATCAAGTTAAATTGGGTTAGAAGCATGTCAAGTTAGGGTATGGAGTTGTGACCAGTTTAGCTAATCGAGTTGGATCAATTGAAGGTGGGTTGATTTTGGGTTGGACTCGAACCCGACATGGCATTAACTCAACTGACATTACCTTACACTCTAACACGCGAGTGCAAGCAGGCAAGCAAGCAAGCAAGCGGGCGAGACCATGAGGCCACAAGGGGAGCGGGCAAAGCGCGAGTTACACGGGTTGTCTTCATCGTGAGTGAACTCGAACCCAACCCGATATATCAATCGGATCGAAAAATTAACCCATACCTGACCGTTTATTAAACGAGTCGACTTGAACCCGAATTTTTTTGGTCAATCCTCATCGTGTTTTCAGGTTGTGTCATATATTGACACCCTTAATGAGTGGCTTTACATTTAGCAATACAATGCAAAATGAGTATATAGGTGAAAGGGTTGAAGTTGCTCCAGTGATAGATAAGATTAGAGAGAGTCGCCTTGGAAGTTTTGATCACAAAAAATATCAGTCTTTCGATGACCCTGTTAGAAGAGTAGATGTATTAGATTTGACCTATATTAAGAAAAGTAGAGGTAAGCCTAAAAAGACCTGGTTAGAAAATATTAAAAATGTCATTTTTTATATTTAAATGAGAATTTGACTCTTAATAGGACATAATGGAACAAAAGGATTCATGTAACCGACCCCACGTAGTTGGATAAAGGCTTGTTATTGTTGTTGTATTGGAAATTATATATGCATAACTCAAAATGTAAGTATGAGAACATAAATGAAAGAAATATGATTAAATGAAACATATGTCGATGTTAAATAAAGGAATACACTCCATTATGAAAATGGCTAGGTACACAATGTACCCCGCACACGAATGAAAAAGATTAGATAAGGAAAAAAAGGTGAAGATAAATAATTATGTCTTAATTGGTACAAACTTTAAACTTTGCTCTTATGATGGACAATATATTAAAAGATAGGATTCAAAAATTTTAGTATAAAAGTGTTATCTTCTGTAAAATAATGTTGTTTTTTTATCTTACCAATCACTGATATTCAATTTCTAATATATCATGTATGATGATTATTTAGAATGACTCATATGCATATTTATTTTTATTTATTTTAAATTGTTATATTATAGAATCGTAATTAACTACTGAGTTTGATGTTTGAAACTCAATCCATTAAATGAAATATTTTAGATAAGGCTCCTGTAGAGTAAATATTTTAGAAGGTTTTGTATATAAACTAAGAGGAGCGAATGTGAATAGGTGTGTAAAGATGATATAAATCTGATTCCGGTTCAATATTTTAGAAAATTTTGGACTAGAGTTGAATTGAATATGGTTTAAATTATAATGAATAATTAGTGGTCCTTTGTAAATTTGAGAAGATATTTCATTTAATTATATTAGTTGTTGTTTGAAAGAAATTTAACTACCACCTGACCGTTTGTTCAAAACAGGGTATTCCAAGTACTCGGGGAAGGTTGTGACTGATAAAACGTGCACCATTTGTGCCACATTCACAATAAAGTTTTACAACTTAAGTTGTTGATTTGATGCAAGGTCATCAATAGCATTAAAGACTCTTACATAGACTATGATGCACATACACTTTTTAATATCAAAGTATACAATGTAACACGCATAGTATAAGAGGTGCTCGACAAGTATCACCATGTCGAACATGACGTTGACATTTTCTATTTAAAAATTAATAAATAAATGAACGACACACATATCAAACATGTGTCATGGTTAAAATGAAATAGCGATAGTAAGAATGGAGAAAATGTGGAAAATCAAAGGCTAATAAAAGGCTTTTATTATTTAATAAGACAATTGAAATAAGTTTTTAACAGATAACTTTATTTAAAATTCCTTTTTGCAATGTTAATTTTATAAGACACATGGAGAAAAAGGATTCATGTAGCCGATCCAACGTAGAGGGATAAAGGCTTGATGTTGTTGTTGTAATGTTAATTTTATATTTATTTTGTAAAAAATACAAACTAATTTATTACAAATTAGACTGTATGCATGTCATATTTGATTAATTTGTGTAGTGATTATACCGACTTTAAATATATATATATATATATATATATATATATATATTGTCGACATGTCAAACATATATCCGTAATCTTTATTTCAATCATAGATGTATAACATGTTCATGTTGTATCATACCCGTATCCCCATATTTGTATCAATGCATCATAAAACAAAGATGATATTCTACAAATCTTTATTACATATAAATCAATGTTTTATCTACTAAAAGGTTGCATTGTTCATTTCTACAAAGTGTTACTTCAAGGACATCAATATATTTATCTAATTTATTATGTCTATTTATATCTTTTATTATCATTGTAAAGGCTTGTTATCATTTTGTTTAGTAAAGCTTTAAACGTCCTTTTGTGAATTGACCCATTTGAATATTAAGGCACATAAGAGTATTGAGCTTAATCCCACACTAATAATTTGAAAATATGTTGGTGTAGAAATATCAAGTGATTGGCTCTTACATGCAGGTTTAAGTTTGAACATTGAAAAAGGTTTTAATTGTTGGTGTATCAATCCTAACTATCATCCTCATTTAGTTCACACTCCAAAAAAACTGTATAAGAGTTGATGACCCAATTAGGATTGAGTGTATCGTACAATTTTGTAGCTCATATGATTCATTGATACCTCCTACCATTGTTGAATAAAATTAAAGAACATGCGTCTCCTACATGTCAAAGTGTGATTGTGAGAGATTTAAGTATAAAATACTTGATAATGTTGAAAGGCCTCCATTTAAGACGGAGGTTAGAGGGTGGTGATGATCAAGATTGAGAGCTTTCGTATGAGGGAGAGAACATTAAGACACATGCGAATATTGGGTTGTAGTTGCACAAAAAATAGTTGAAAAATATAATGTTGCATATAGATCAAGTGGTTAGCCCTCACTTATGAGCCTAAAATTTTGAGCTGAAAATAAGTTCGAACAAAAAATATCATAAATAATTTTTGATTCACACTTGCTAACACTATATGTGAGAGTAGATTTTGCTTCCGTTGCAAAGAACTTGCATCATAGGGCTTAGTACATTCTTTAAAGCAATTCACAGAAATAACAAAACTTCTAGGTCAAATATAAGCTTGTGGCAGTTAACGAAAAACTTGTGATAGAATTAACAAATCCTTAAACTCAAAAACAAAGCAAGTAAATGGAGTCACTACTAGTTTTACATTATGGTAATAATTTTTTTTTCAAAATGAATTCTTTTGATAACCTAGTTTAATTATAAAGGAGGGTTTTTGAATGGCAAATAAACATTGACATAGCCATATATGAGAACGCCGTATAATTTGAATCTAATGGCATCAAAGATATACATCTTAATAGAGAAATTACAAGCAGAGGAAGACGGTTTTTGAAAAAAGAAATGTTATATTTGTAAAGAGGAGACAAATACTAGAATAATACATGTATCTAAATATCCAAAGCAATTCTTCCCAAATTTCACATTTAGGACACCTAAGCATCAATATTCTCTAAACAACAATTAAGATTTTAAATCCAGCATGAATTTAATTGTCATTATTACACAAATGGAAACGGTATTTAAGCATAAGAGAACGCATTAAAAAGTAGTTACTTGGGTAAAGAAAAAAGGCAAAACATGTCACCAAACAACATGCAACAGAAATCATCACCACCAACTAAGAAATGAGTAAAATAATTCCTCATCTCATAAACATCAACATACCATTGTGTTTTGCTCCTCCTTAACACGCATCAAATAACTCTCTACTTCATCTCTGTTTCTTGTGATTTTTTCCTCACAGTTTCTTTCGATTTCCTTAATAAGTTTGTTTGCCTGAAGTTTTAGACAGTTCAAGATAGACTACTTTCATACCGCTTGAAGATCTATATGTGGAATTCAGAAGATCTAGAAAACCTTTTCTTTTTCCTCAGCAACAATCACCTCCTTCTCAGCCTCGTACTTCTTTCTTATCTCATTGATAGCCTGCAATTTTCCAAAATTATATTTTAAGCAGGACAAATTTATTCCATATTCTTTGTAGGGCCATTACAAAGATCAATACCTGATCATTTTTCTGGTAAAGTTCCTTCAAATGCTTAGATAATTCAACCTGTTTGCCTTCAAACATCATGTCATACTGCTTTTTTGCTTCAGCGAGTTTACACTCTGCTGCAGTAAGTGCTATCTGGACCTAAAGGGGGCCTAATATCTCAGAGAGATAAATCAAAGCAATTGAACTAAACAAATGTGAAAGCATATAGGAAGGAAAATGGGCGGTCCAAAAAAAAAGGGTAAATTAAAATTAACAAGTATAGTGCTCAACATGATGAATGGAGAAAAAATTCATAAGAATGATCCCAAATAGTTGATACAAGACAAATGATGATGATGATGAGATGATAGTAGAATATGTTTGCTTTGTTATGTTATAACCTTAGATTGTTGTTCTTCCTTCTGTTTTTCTCTTTCTTTGAAACTAATTATAAGCTTTTCCTTCTCATCCAAAACACCACGAAGCTCGCTGATTTTATTTCCTAGTGAGTCTGCATGCTTTTCATGTTTTATTATCTCATTATGCAATGCTTCTGTTTCTTCAACCTTCTCTTGTAACTGACGTTGCATCCTACATTCAGTATTGTGATTCCCCAACTCAAGCTTAGAAATTATCTGCGACAGCTCTTGCTGAAATTTTAAACAATGGAGATCAGAAGGCAACACGCAATAATTAATTGCTCAATAAAAGTTTGAAGATTACCATTCTGTTCTCGGCAACACAAGAAACTTCTGATAAATGTTTAACTTTGCCTTCTAGTTCAGTGGCCAGCTTTTCCAGTTCATTTTTCTTTAAAAGAAGTCCACCAACTTCAGATTCCAACTTGCGTGCTTTATCTTCAGCTAAGCGACATTCATCAGCATGTTGCACCATAACAAACTCCTGCGCTTTCTGCATCTCAATGATCCTATTAGTTAGCTGGTCATTGAGCAATTTAAGGGAATTATTTTCTTCCATGATATTCAACAATTGTTGTTGTAGTTTATCAAGTTTTCCTTGATTACACTTAGCAGTCAAAATCTTCTCCTGGTGTATCAGCTCATAGTATGTTTTGAAGGAAGAGATCAACTTTACAACATTATTTGATATGGCCGAAGAATCCTTATCCAGTTGGGATATTTTAATCATCAAATTATGGATAATTTCTTCAAGATTCTTGATTTCTAAGCATGAGTTCCCTATCTGCTGCTTCAAAGCTTGGTTATTGCACTGCAACATATTGTTCTCCCTCTCCAAATCATCCTTGGTAAAATTCAAGGTCCTAAGGATTCCTTCTTTAGAAATGAGCTCATGTTGCATAGCCTGTAGCTGAGAATGAAGAGTGTCCATGTGCTGTTTACTTTGTTCAACTGCATCTTCTAACTCCTTGATTGTAGAGCCTGCATTTACAGTAAATGTGAATATTTCATACTGCTAACTAATAAGGGTGTCAAACCAGGTTGACGGCTCGGATTTGGTTCTAACCTGAAATTGAACCAACCCGAACTAAAACTGTTTAATAAACCAATCAAAAACTCTAACCCGAACCCAACCCACTAGCAACCTGAATGACCTAAACACAACCGTTAGCCCATTTTGGTTAAAAAAAATTATAACTTAAAAAACTTTTTATAACTTATTACTATAAAATTCAGGATATTTGATAAAAAAATAAGATTATACCTACAAATAAACAATTTAAGGAAAAAATATATTAAATGGGTCATTTTCAGATCAAAAAATGGGTTTGTAGGTCAACTCAAATCTGACCCGTTATATAAACAGCCCAAAAAAAGCTCAGTCCAAACCCGACCCGTTTATTAAACAGGCCAACCCGAATCCAGATTTTTTTTGTCAGGGTCGGATCAAGTTGATGCATTGGGTCATTTATTGACACCCCTACTATCTAATATGATATGTAAAAGAAAACTTGTGCAGTTAATTTAAAGTGCTCATTAATGTTATTTAATAGACAATATATGATGCAAACTAAAAGATCAAAAATCAAAGAAAAACAATTTTGTAGATTCATCCTAACTAATCTTATATCCTCCAAAACCATGTTGTAGGACAAGTTGGAATAATTTTGAGCGTTGAAAAGATGTTTCTCCTTGGTTATTCATGCCAAAAATTAATTACATTATGACTAACTATTACTTATCATTAGCAAAAGAGATTGCAAGTTTAACAAAGACAATAAATTAGTATTTTTATACGAAAACAAGCGTGACAAAACATATAAGATGATATCACACGGAAAAATGAATAGAAGCAAAGACAAAAAAAAAAATTAAATTACTATGATGAAAACTTAACAGATCGTTAAATAATGATGATAATGAAAATTGCTTGCACAAACAATCCTTTGTCGGGGTTGTAAAATTTCATCTCCAAGGGATGCGTTCACATTCAAGTGATCTTTACTTGAGTGGAAGAGAACACAACCAAATGCAATCGACTAGTTTCATTCATTTCTTCATGACTAGGATGGTCTAAAGGAAATCATATATGTACTAAAGGACACAAGTGTCAACTATGATCATTGGAGAAAGCCAATAAAGGATGGTGGAGAGGTTACAAATAATGGTAGATAAGTCGGAAAAAATGGTGAAATCAAAAGATCATTTTGGTTCCTTTTGAAAGGACTTCAAGGACCAAAATGATCATTTAGAATTAAGGTACCATTTTGGTTATTTTCCTATTTTGAAATTTAAGCCATAGATATTGCTAAACTTGCTTTATTGAGAATTATAGTCGAAGCTTAGATCTTATAGCATGTACGAGTTTTGAACAAGAACATTAAATGAGAAAGCAAGAAAAAGGATGATTGATCAAGAGAAGAAGACGTGAATTTAAACATGGTTAAACAATAAATTCAGATGATTGATAAAACATCAAACAAAGGTGTATTATTAACTTCCTTATTAACAATCTTTATAGGAGAATATTTTTTTAAATTGTTGATGAGTAAGCCTTTGTTAAAGATGCAACTCTGTTATCCAAAATGCTTGATGAAATTATTGAAGAGATGGCATTATTATTTAAGTGGTCACAAATAATGCAAGTATATACAAGATTGCAAGGATTGTTAATGGAGAAAATGAAGCATCTTAATTAGACTCCTAGAGATGCTCACAGTCATGATTTGATGCATGAGAATCTAAGAGAATTGTAACAATATAAATATGCTTTACTTCAAGCAAAAAATAGTGAGCAAAATTTATTTACAACCATTTATGGGTGCTGAGATTAATGAAGAAGTTCAGAAATAAATAAATTATTGAGCATGTCATTACAAGATTCACCATAACTAATAAATTTTACAAAGATTCAAAGAATTGTGACAACCTTTAAAGACCATGTTTAGTTTCAAAGAATGGAAAAAAGTTCATGTGCAAAACAATCTCAAGGAAAACAATCGAAAAAATTGTAGTGAGCTTCTATTTAGCGTGGTGTTAACTATACTTTTAAAATCATAGATCCTAAAGTAAAGGTACTGAAAATGATTGATGGTAAAAGGATCTAGCAATATGATTCATGAAGGGGTGAATAAGTCAAAAGAAGAAATAGTAAGAGAAGTAGGAGGCAAGAAGTCATCTGCAAATAGTTATAGAAAATTATAAATCAAAAGTGGGATCATCAGTTATATCACAATTTGCAATTATCACATATTACTTGAGCCTTCAATTTCATTATGACAAGGACTTCTATGTAGATAAGGAAACAAACTAATTTATATGTGTTTATAGACAAGCTTGTCCTTGAGGCGAAAATCTACAGGCTAATGATCAACTCAAATATTTTAATTTAAAGAATAAAATGTTTGATTTCAAAGTAGCCCAATCATACTATAAAATAGGCTCTCATGATAAATTTGCATGTGCTTATAATTTATAACTAAAGTTTTACGTTTAATGTTCCTAGATTTATATATTTTAATCATTTATTTTCATTATAATCAAGAACATTTGTGACAATAATTTGTAGATGACATAGTTAAACTTAAAGCATTGATAGTCAAAGTTCTTAATCTTATTTGTTCAACATCCAAGTAAGAACGTAATTGGATAAAATTCAACTAAATACTTGATCGTAGCCGTCGATCTCCGGCGTCTCCTGATTGTACACATGTCAAAAAATGCTGACGATGTCCTCATCAATTACCCAATTGGTTCATATTATATTCAATAAGAAATTAAAAAATCGATACCACAAGTTATAAAGACAACAAAATTGATGATAAAGAAATTGATCCTTTTGAGTGTTAATGATATACAATTGGGTTGAATAAATAGGTCACAAAATTCATGAAGGGTTTTAAGTTGAAGATGAAAGAATTGTCTTAAGTGATGATGTGAATGAAAGAATTCGCTTTTTTTTTTCCTTATTACGTGATTTATGAACTAAGTTAATATGTTAAAGACTTATGCATTTATAAATTCCCTTTAATTTTATTATTCCCTTTTTTGAGGTTTACACCTAGATTCACTTGAGGCTTATGCAAGGCAAAACGTCTCAAATCCTGTTTTCTCCTTCTTAAACATTACTTTGTAAGCCAACTAAGTCAACTTATGGCTCAACATGAAACATAATTAGAAACGACCAAAAAATACATAAGGACTCAAAATACTCCACAACACCTCATCATACATAAAAAAGCACATACATACTCATAATATAACATAATAGATCTTACATACATGAATCTAAAATCATGACATACTAAACTAGCTCCAAAATGCATCCTACATCATCCTCCAAAACTTCGAATAATTCAAAACTGTCAGATGAAGCCTAAATACATAAGAGTGCAAATGAGGGAAAGCTGTCGCAACTACTCCAAATCATACGTGATCCTAAATAGAGAAGAGATCTCTCAAGTAAAAAACTCATGATCTCTCCATCTCACAAGAGATTTTAATCGTTCACATGATAATAATAATAGCAGCAATAGTGATTAAAATATAATCCACAACTACTCACTGCGTGTTAAGAAAATTACAATGGAAATATTTTCATGATGTAACATCAAGTCTTACACACTCAATGCTAGAAAAAAATCTAGTATCCCACATAAGGTCAAATTCATATGCATTAATGCTTATCTTCCTATCAAAATCATATAATCCAACTTTTATAACAGTCACTATTCAAAATATTCTTAAGGATGATCGGATCTCATTCTTATCAACAACATATCTCCCTAATTGAAGTTAAAAAAACAACTCTTTATATAATTAACAATAAAATTTTTATTGTCATATAGTTAGCTCGTATTGAATTTCCTGATGAGAATAATTTAAGCTGTATGCAACAGATGATGCAAACTCACTTTTAAAATGTAAAAATGTAGACTCGATAATGGGAGTGTCCAGATAATTTCCATTTTCAAATATCCAGATATTAGATCAATAAAATTCCTAAATGAAGAGAATTCCATAGGACTTTCATAAGAACATAGTTCTTGAGACTCAATAGAATTACTAAGAGGCTGTTCAATATTAAGGGTGCTTAATTCACATTGAACAACTGCTAATTATATTTTTACCAAGGTGTCTTTTCCATTTTAAGGCCAAGAATGAAACTAAACTCATCAATCTCATTCCCATATTGTTGTTGTTGTGTACCATCAATAAGGATTCAAGGGAGATGAGTAGATTCTTTAATGACTATAGGAACTAGGGTGGGGTGCGTTAGTCAGATTTAGTCGAACATAGAATTTGGTTTGCATGTATATGATTTTGGGTTCCAGTTGAAATAGGCTTAAAATTACTAAATACTATAGGAACTAGGGTGGGGTGCGTTAGTCAGATTTAGTCGAACATAGAATTTGGTTTGCATGTATATGATTTTGGGTTCCAGTTGAAATAGGCTTAAAATTACTAAATATTATTTCAACACTAGCAATAATGCACTCATTTCTTCTTTTACCATATGTGAATGACTCATCCTTCTATTTTTGCAATGTATTCATAAATTATAATCGACATATAATCTAAAATAATCCTCTTTGTGGCTAGGATTATATTCTCTTGAAAGAGGTCATGATTTATAGCCAACAAGTTCTCGTAGACCTTGATTTATAATAAGTGTTTGGGCCATTCCCATATGGCCTTAGATAAGGTTCATGCTGATAAAAATATCCACTAAAATATGTCATCGGGGCAAAACAATTCAACAAGTTTCAAAAAAAAATTGGGTTCAAAGTTAGATTTTTTATTAGCAAGTCTCAAATTGTGCTAATTTTGAAGGTTTATAAAGGAATTTAAAAATGTTCAGAAGGAAAGTGGAAAGTTGCAAACAACATCAAGCTAATGAAAATCAACTACTTGAAAGCAAATACTGAATCAATATGGCAAATATAAACAGAAAAATTCAAGATATAAATTTTATAAATGATATGTGCAAGTGTATGACTTTTAAATGATACGAATCAACTTGCCCTAATATCAAATATGATGTAGGATTAGTTGGAATGATTTTTATGGTTTTTGAAAAATGAAATTTTCATTGTTTGTTCAAGATGAAACTCAGTATATTATGACTAACTACTAGATTAGATTAACTCAAAATAATAAGCTTAGCAAGATAACATTTTCCACATTTTTATATAAGAGTAGCAAACTAGATAAGATCATATCACAAGAAAGAATGAAGAATAATAGAAACATGACAAAAATGTAATGCCTACAGTGGAAATTTTGACAAACCATTGACGTGATTAATGCTAATGAATATTACTTTGACAAACAATTCTTCATGATTGTGATCTTCCTTCCATGAATATCCCTCTCCAAGGACCATGTTACTCAAACTCGAGATATTTTACTTTGATGGAAGAGAACATAGCAACATATGAACCCAATAATAACTACTTTCATTCATTTCTTAATGCAGAACCATAAAGTGACTTGCATATTTAGTCTAAATTAAAGACAACTATCAATCAAAAATATTCAAAACTAAGGTGCTAGATTCAAAAAATGAGATGGGGAGAGATCAAAAGTAGTCATGGAGAATTCAAAACCTAATGGCCAAAAAAATTGTTTGGCCCGGTGAAGTTTGGATGTTAGGTCTTTGTAATCACCTAGTATAGGAAATACAGGTAAAATATTTCAACAAAACAGATGTATCAAGAAAAAGACATCTTCGAGCTACTCTAAAGCATGGATTTTTCATCTTTTTGATTCCCTTGGAAAGATATTGACCACTAAGATCGACTCCAAGTTGGCAAAAAATGGTGTTAAAACCAAAGGAGTTATTCCAGAATTATCCAATTATAAGCATTCATCATAAGTTCAATTTAGTATTAAACAAAATACTTTTCTTTTAACCATGCCAAATCTAAAAAGAATCTTTCTGAAGGAAGTAATTTTACCTTTTCCTTTTATTACTTCATCAGCAATACAAAGTTCAACCTTGAAGCGATTTTCTGCTTCCTCCTTCTCATGTATAAGTTTGCAAATTTCTTGTTTTCCTACAAAAAGATATTACTAAACACTCTTATACAAAAATCTTAGCATGAGTTCTTCATGCATTTTTTATTCCAGTCCATCACAATCAAAGTTCAATAAATATGACAATAAATGCATAGCCAGAGGAAAATATTAAACTTCTAACCAGATTTTATTTTGTTGTCTGCACATTGGAGTTTTGCGGATAAATCATCAAACTGCAACTTGAAGTTATCAAAAGATTTAGCATTCTCCAAAAGCTTTTCCTCAGTCAACTTCTTGTCTTGCTCAGCTAAGAAAAAAAATGTAGAAATAAACTTATAAATTAGACAATAAATAATCTCCAAGCACACAGAAACCAGCACTTAGCCATACCTGTATCAGTCTGATCAGCTAATTTCAGTACTGCATCACTCAACTGATCACAAAATGCCTTAGTTGAAGATAATTTTGTATCTAATCCATTCCAGAGTTTGGCATCCTCCATCTGCTTCACCTTAAGCATTGCATTTTCATTAACCGCTTCCTGTAGATTGGCCTCTAGAACATGTATCTGCTCTGTTGCTTTCCTCAGTTTTGTATGCTTCAATAACCACATGAAATTCAAATTTATAACATCAGTCGGTTTTGTAGATGAACAGAAATTTTTGTAGCAAGCTGTGTTGCTTCCTAATCAGAAAGCTATGGAGAAAATAAAAAACAATTTTAATGCCAGCCTACATAAAATCTAGTAATTATTAACTATCAGTATCGAATGTGGATGCATCAACTAAACATTGTAGGAGAATGGATGCATCTAATAAAAACATAAAGAAAGGGCATAGAAGATATTAACGTGAGATCAAGATAACAATCACAACAGAAGAACATCCATGACATGGAACAAATACTTTTCAAACAAGTATTTTTTTACCGCCAATTCAAGGTCGGTTTTCACTGAAGCTTGTTCTTTAACCAGCTTGTCTGAAATAAAGCTCAACAATAAAGGAATGGGTCAGGCAATCACAAATTCTCAGGAGAAAGATTTGTAGTGTGAGGATATCGTGCAAGGAAAATGTAAGTACCTGCCGTCAACTTTAGAGTCGTGAAACTTCCATGTGACAGAGAATCCAATGAAGGCCTCATAGTTGCCATCTGAGGGGTTTTTGCTATACCGGCCACGGATCCACTCAAGGATCGAAGTTGATCGAAACTTTTCAAACTGGAAATCCCAAGTTTCTGCATCTCAAAATAGTCACCCACTACGGAACCAAAAACTGCCTCAAGAAACACTTCCCTTCTCTGGAATGGATGGAATATTCAAAGACGGCCTAGGAAGAAGATCTACCTCTGCTCCCTTGGAATACCGTGCTTATCTGCTTATAAACTTCAGATACAGTGGCCTGAAAGCAGGAAATAGGCTTTGAGGAAACTAAGGACTATGCCTTTTGCCTTTAGTCGTCGATAGATCCTTGCAGCAAAAAGAGCCTTGGACAGAAACTTACTACAACCAGACTTGAAATGAAAACCCTCGTAAGAAGAACTACTCCCCTCAGTCGGCCAAACGCAACTATCTCCTGTCAGTCGCCTGAAAACGGAAAAGGATTTTGAGGAACCCGTGAAGTTTCGTCTGGTAAGAGGCTCACCCGAACAACCGCCCCCCGCTGCTCACACATTCGGAGGCGGTGGAGTTGCCATTAGGCTGTATTTATAGGTTGATTCGCTTACGGCGGACGACGGAAAGTTGCGTCTTCCGTACCGTGATATTTATTTATTTATTTATTTGTAATAAGAGAATTTAATATACTAGGCCGGAAATTTATGCTTTTATAGTCGGAGCCTAATGTTCCAGAGAGAACTTCTATAAGGTCGTGTAGCCTTAGCATTTCAATCCTAATGTTAAGCAGTCTAACTTCTAACAAGTAACAATGTTAGGAAAAACCTCTTGAATTTCATGAGTGAAGGTTTAAAAAAGAGAGAGCATTATTCACTAAGAAAGGTTTTTACAAGGCTTAAAAACTTGAATGCACAAGAGTAATTTATATATGAGGAGGAGGGGTCATATATATAGCCCTCCACTCACTCCTAAGAATACTCTAAAGTAGTCTACACAATACACAAGTGTGGAGTCTTTAGAAGCTCCTAGTGCCTTCTTGAGGATTTTAGGCTTAAGTAGCACATTCTAGAGCCTTCTATATGATGTGTCAATATCATGAGGGCTCTAGTTAATCTCATTACTTCCTTTAGCCATGTCATGCCCAGTTTAACATGGCTAAGCTCCTAGAGTTTTTTCAGGTCATCACATTCTCCCCCACCTATTTTTAATGCCCTCATAACGAGTCTTCTAGCAACAACATCTAATATAATTCTTGGTCACCCTCTGACCCTTGGACTTCTTCCTTGCTCTTAATGTTGGTTTCCTTTTCTTCAGTATGTATGCTACCTTTCCTTCCCTTGGTATTAGTAGCTTCACAGATTGCCCATGCAGCGCGACTTCCTTAAACCCTTTGAGAACATCAACTTGCCCTTATGCTTGTTCCCCTTGAGTCTTGGCTTCTTATATCCGCTAGGGTATTGATGGAGGCAGTGGAGTAACCTAAAAAATTGTGAAAATAATTTAGGGTTCTATTAATCTTTAAATAATGCTTAGGTTTTCTTTAATATAAAAATTATAAAAAAAAAATCACTTAATATATGTAAGTATACATGCTAAATCAAGTAATATAGTGACATAGTAGAGTATCGATCCCATGAGGAAGAATTTTTACTTAATACTGTCTACTTCAACCACATCAATTATCCTACTCAATAAAAATAAGTTTTGGTTGAGATTCAATCACTTAATTTAAAATAAAAAATAATTAAATGAAATACTATTTTAATAAATTATTTTAGATTGATGGAATGTAAATACAATATGTTTCCTTATTATTCTCTTTTGTATTGATAATATTTAGAGTATATACATCGTCGACCGCTCAATCATTTGTGAAGAGACAAAAGATAGATTAAACCTTCTAACATAAATATCACTTTAAACTCTCAAAGTGTGTCATCATATGAGAATCTTAGAAGAGTAAGCAAGCATGTACTGTTAAAACTCTCTCATGATAATTCATTTCTATAAATTTGATACATGACAAGCACTATGCCTATACTTTCATCATACTAATCCAACATACTTGGTTGTGTCGGCTTTCCCATTCCTAGGCTCTACATTACACATGATATTAACTACACATATGGCCACTATGTGTATTAAATGAAAACCTGATATATTAAAAGTATCATAAAATAATTAATGAAGAAAATTCATTAGCACTCCACATTTCATTTACACCATCAATTCAAAACTAGATAATTAAGCTAGGCATGAAAAACAAGTGAAACAAATTTATTTTCATTAGTTTCACAAAAGAAAAAAAGAACATAAGAAAAGATATCATCTAATGGGTTCAATGATCTCCTTTATATTCCTCCTTAAACTTATAGAATTACTTCCATAAACACAAGCCAAACACTCTAGTAAAAGGTATCTAGTACTTCTCTAAATTTTTTTAGTTCTCACTTCTAAGGAAAAATCATAGAAGTACTATAAAGACAAAAATTAAATAGGTGATTGAACACCTCAATTAACATTACAAATAGACTATTTATAAAAAAAACATATAAAATATATTCTAGCATTACGGTGCTCAAGACACTTGGTTTGTGGCACCCATAATATGAGCTAACGCCGCAGCACTGAAGGATTTCTCTATTGTGGCTCTTGCTGACATTAACCAGCTATTTATTGAATCAACACTTCACTCACTACAGGAAAATCACCCACTTCCGGCGGCTTTTTCCGGCGGAATTTGACCTATTTCCGGCGGTTTTTTAATTTTCCGGCGGTTTTCCGGCGTTGAGCATTGTGGCATCCTTGTGGCACTATTTTTGACATGGCGGCACTGGAATTTGGCATCACAATGCTATGTAGATAGAGATTGGCTTTACGGCGCTGACTCCATCAATAATGTTGCACTATCAAATAGAGATTAGGTGATGTCATGTCTAAATTTAGGTACTTTGGTGATGTCAATGATGGTGTTGTAGTGGTATAATGTGATGCCATAGAATCTAAATTAAAAGAATTATTCTTATATTTTAATAAAAAATAATCAGAGTTATCTAATATCAATTATCAGTAATAAATAATAAAACATATTATATAATTTAAAACATCAATATACATATCTATATTCAATCTCAAAAATTATATACAACACTAAAGATTTATACAATCATATCATAAATATTTTGTCCTGAGTATAAGAGAATAATAAAATAAAAAAGAAATAGAATTGAAGAATATGTTTAGCCTCACACTTCTACTCCCGTACCTTGACCTGAAATCATTTAACCACGAATAATGAGCTAAAAATTCCAACAGGTTACTGTGGACCTCCGAAAGAGCACCGCTCGTGGGGTACGAACGCAGAGGGTTCGGCCGCACTATCCAGTAGGACAAAACGATCGTAGGCCTCTACACTCGACACGAACAGGTGGATGGAAGGGCAGATTGGATCGTGCATACGACTAACCATTGAGGATAGAGGCTGTCGCCAACACACATTGATGGGTAGTAATATACACGACCTAATCCCGGGTTTCCCCCACCCGATACGACAGCTCGAGTGAGGTTTAGTAGATATGAGACCGAGTTTCCCACGGGCGCAAGCCCCTGTGGTTAATTATATCCCAGGCCGGAGCCTGAGAAAACTCTCGATTAAGGATCATATATTATCCCCTCCTAAAATGGGATTGACACAATGTTATAGACTAAGAAGTCATACTCAAAGGAAAGAATGGTCTCAAAGGGTTGAATCAACATGCGTGGCTCATACCAGCATTCGGAGGCTCTAGGGTGCTAAACAAAAACTAGAGAAAATAAAACTCAGGCATCCGACCACATGCGTGAGAGAAGGATAGAGGTGACGTCATCCTGTGATGTAGATAGGGATTTAGGGTCCCTGAAAAGAAGGGATCTGCCTACTATTTTAAGGCATACTACGAGACTGAATGTAGTAGCCTTGAACCCTAAATCTAGGTTGGGCTTAGTGTTCTACGAACAACACTAAGACCCGTGTCCTAGCTAATGCAATGCAAAGATCTGGACTTACCCCGGTATGAATGGGGGAGCCAGCTAACCACCTAATCACTTCAAAACCATACTGTCAGGTCATTTTTATGAAAGATGGATGTGTGGTACAGTTATTGAAAATTGGACTGACATCTAGAGAGTTTTCTAATTGGTCCTGAACTTATGTGGGTAAATGCTCCTAACTAATGCAATTAAATTTTATTTGAATTGATTTCTAATGCAATGCATACTAGTTGAAATGTCATCTCATGAATACTATAGAGTTTTAAAAAATAGGCTTATAAAAAAATAATTTTTTGAAAATGCTGAGTCGCCCTAGGTACGGCACTTCATCCTCATAGGCCAGATTATCCGGACTCTACCCGTAGGCAGGGATATGCCTTATAAGAAGGAGAGAGGAATGCAGTAATATATATGTGACCCCGGAGGATTCGGACAGTTCTCTAGATTCGTTAAGTTTCAATGTTATTTAAAACTTAAATTTTCAAAGATTAGTTATGAGTAGAAAAATTTTATCATCCTTAGAGAACCTAACGGAATCCATGCGAAAACAAAAGCGACATGTAAGAAAGAAATCTAAAAAATAGATATTTTACTACGCAATCAATGTAAACACATCAATATAAATCAAACCAATTAAATAAATGTCCATAGGCCAACTGCCCTTATTACAACTCAAGGTCTACATAAAAGTAAAGTAGTTGGGCACCACTGCCAACAACCCGGATTTCTAAGCCTATGACAGACGCCAATGACTTTGAGTGGGATATTGGTCTTCAAGTATTCAATCTTCTAGATGTCTTCTTCTCCTTGGACTCCTTGGATCTCTCTTCCTTGGACTCATTGGATCCGTCGTGGCTTGAATATCCAAACGAAGAGATAATTTCCCCTTGGTAAGGGGCATTGCCTCTTCTTATTGGATATCTAAAGCCATCCAACTTTCTTACCTAGGGGTAGATATAACGCTCATCACATCATATCTAGAGTGCAGAAAAAGTAAGCAAACACATCAATCAATTTCAAACAACATGCAGTAAAAATATCGAAAAGCTCCGGCACACATCTGAAAATAAAACCCAGCAGCCTAGCCTAGATCTAGAAGTGTTGCCCTAGTAAAGAATTTTATGTGTGTGTAAGGCTTGTGTGGTTTGGATAGATCACAATCCGGGTAGTTAGTTAAAGTTACCTAAAGTTCACGTTTGTTATAGGTCTGAAAAGGGAACTTTAATTAAAATTCAAATATTAATGAATTAAGAACAATTTTAATTAATTTAGTTTGTTGATCAGTTTTAAATACTTAGAGTAGTGATATTTAAAGTTTAAATTGCATCAACCAATTTTGGAAAGTCTCGAGTCCTCCTAGAAACTAGACTAAGGATCCAAAAAGTCACTATAAGAAATAGGCTAGATTTGGGTCTCTTATCACCTTAGGAAAATACTAGACCTTAAGATGAGTAATTTGATAGGTAGTACACTGAAATTGGACTTTTCTAGGCAAAGTTATGAATTTTCTAAGATTCAGGCCCTAGATGAACTATGGTTGACCAAAACGTTGACTTTCTAATCTAGGTCAGTTTTTGGAAACCTAATATTTTTTATAAATACTATACCCTAATAAAACTC